TAAAAGCAGCCTAATAAATGCTACACTTCTGATCCAAACCAAAAAAGTTGATTTGAAGTAGGCCTGAGCACACATGCCATGCCTGTGTTCACAAATCCTTATAAAAGGTCTTGGGTTCACAAAGGGAAATATGTCTTTGGAGCCAAAGAAGCACCAAGGATATATCTCTGCCTACTTCAAAGCACCTTGCCACACTTATATTTCAAATGCAGAGTTTCCTGGGATCCTGGGAGCCGAGGTGGCGCAGCAGTTAGAGTGCAGTACTGCAGGCCACTTTAGCTGACTGTTCAGCAGGTCAGTGGTTCAAATCTCACCAGCTCAAGGTTGACTCAGCCTTCCATCCTTCCGGGGTAGATAAAATGAGGACCCAGATTGTTGGGGGCAATGTAAATATATATATATATATATATACATTGCTTACTAGTGTACACCGCTTAGAGAGTGCTTGCACTTAAAGCGGTATATAAGTCTCATAAAATAAATAAATAAATCATGAGGTTCCCATACAGACCTAGGAAAATAGAAAACGTCCTAAAAGAACACCCAACTGATATATGCTTGCTTCAAAGGATTCTTCTCACTTTGGACTGAAAGTGGAGGTTATCCTACACCAAAACCATGAAGGAACATAGACACAGAATTGAGCAACACAGTAACCCCAGTTTTCTAGCCCCCAAATTAATTTGTACTAGCGAGGGTGGAGTTTTCACAAATAAACCTATTTCCCTCTCTCCACCTCCACCATCTTTTTCATTCCAGCATTTAATTTAAAACAAGGGAAAAGGAAGTCTGCCTATCATTATTTTTTAAATACAGTAGTCCAAAAGCTCAATGATTTAAATTCTGCCCCTTCATGTTGTAAGACAATGCAAGTTATATTTGATTTGATTGACCTATAGGGGCTGTCTTTCTAGATCTCTTTGAATGACCATGCAGCTTCAACCTCTGTGAGTTCCCTTGTTAGACCACATAGTTTTCTGGGAAATATCACCCCTTCCCTTGTTCCTAGTTGTGAATTGCAATCTAAAAGAGGAGCATAGAAATTAAAGTGCACTTCTAGACAGTTACAATTCATTTCAAGACCCTGGAAGTCTGAGATTGCTAAACCTAAGTAAGAGACTCAACCTGCTTGCTTTGGAAGTACTATGGTAGAAATGTCTTAGGTGCACCGGACCTGTGCCATCTGTCAAACAAGAGAGTGGGGCAGGATAATAAGACTGGGAAAAATGTTTAAAAAGATATGAGCAGAAGCTAGTGGGGAGTCCTAAAAGGCCAGACAGAGAGAATAGCCAAATAAATCAAATGACAGATCAGCATTAATCATTTCATAGAAAATTCTGAATTGCCATTAGTAGTTTTAGCAAGGGCGGCTGTACTAATCATATAACACAAGCCTGACAGATATCTCCCTCCGGGTATCTGGTATAGCTTCCAACCTCAGTTGGAAGAATTCCACTCAGGATAAGCTAAGCAGCTGCCACCTGTTCTGGTGTGAGAAGACATCCCTCCCCTTTTCTGACAATATTCTGGAATCTGGGTAAACAGAAGGGGAAATCCCCTTCTCCAGGACTACGTTTTTAAACAAGCTGCTCCAGTCTCCCCCTTTTATTCAGAAAACAGGGCCCAAACAATGCATGGTGCTTGGGTAAGTCCCATACTAAAATAACAATAAATAAAGGATTTAAAAAATAGTAAAAAGGACAAAGTATGTATTTCAGGAATAAGAGAGCTAAATTAAGTTACGAGGCCTCTATATGCAAATTCGAGCAATCATTAACCACTACATGAACCACTAAAAAAAAAAAACCCTCAGAAGGACATTAAATGTGAACAAGGGTAAAAACTGCCAGTGTTTCTCAACCTTAGCAAGTTTAAGGTGCGTGGACTTCAGTTCCCAGAATTCCTCAGCCAGCTATCCAAGTAAGCACAGAAGCAACTGAAAGGAGATAAAACATTCCTGATGCTTCTGCCTGTACTTCCTCTATCAGCTTTACCTACAGATTCCAGTTCTTCTTCTTGAAAAGATCTGAGTCCCAGGCCCAAATAGGAAATCTATTGCTACAGTCCTTGCTACAGGTAGTCCTCAACATATGGCCACAACTGGAACCAGAATTTCCATTACTAAGCAAGGTAATTATTGAGTCGTGCCCAATTTTATGATACCTTCTTTAACCAAGGTTGTTCAATGAATTACTGCAACTGTTAAAGTGAATCAGGTGGCCATTAAGCAAATCTGCTAATTCCGCAATTAACTTTATCAGAAGCCAATTAGAAAGGTCACAAATGGTGGTTACGTGGCCCTGGGATGCTGCAATCGTGGTAAATACCTGCCAGCTGCCAAGCATCCGAATTTTGATCAAACAACTATGGGAAAGCTATGACTGTTGTAATTGCAAAGACTGGTCATCAGCCCCTTTCTTCAGTGGTGTTGCAACTTTGAATAGTTGCTAAATGAATGGTTGTTACGTTGAGGACTACCTTCAAATTTTCTGTCCCATCTTGAGCCCTACCTCTGACTTTCACTGGCAGAGAGTAGCAACTTTATACTGCTTTGGAATATTTATAGTACCTCCATCCTGCCTACAGACTCTCAAATCCATTACAGTAGTCACTCTGAGGGGTCTTTGGTGTTCTCTGAGCTTGGTTGTTTTCTTGTAGACGTTTCATTACCCAAACTAGTTAACATCATCAGTGCTAGTGACGTTAGCACTAGAACTCATGATGTTACCTAGATTGGGTAATGAAACACCCGTAAGGAAATAACCAAGCTTGAGAGAGCACCGAGGACCCCTCATTTCAACCTTGAGCTACAAATATTCTCCTTTATTAGTAACCACTCTCTCCAATTTCAGAAAAGTAGAACTGAGCACTTTCTCAGCTAAATGAACATATACAACTTTTCTGACATCCATGGACATCCAAGGCTGCCCTTAGAAAGGTAAAAGGATTGCCCACGCTCTTCCTCTTTCAGCACAAAATTTGCTCTGCCTGCAATAATTTTCACTGACATAAATCCCACTTCAAAGGATTATACGTCTGTTAACCCTAAATTCTTGAGAACAGAATATATGCATCTGGCCAGGAGTTCAGAGAGAAGCAGAATTAGCCATAGGTAGGACTGCAATGGAAATTCCATAAAGCATTTTACATATTTTACATATCTTAACCAGCTAATTCCATTTGAGATAATTTATTCTAATCTTCCAATTATTTTTCCATTCATAGCTAAACAAGGATATTGGTTTCCAGGGATGGGGAATGTGGAAGAAAACTAATATTATCAATGAAAGCATTGTGTAATGCCTGATATAATCATTCCTAATTCTTAAATGTATGTTTTCAATTCTGAATAAGTGACTAAAGTTAACAATAAATTTGTTCTTATATACAGTATTTTTTGGGTACATATAATTTGGAACATTATACTATGAGAGATACTAGAGAGATAGAGATAGTGATAGAGATAGATAGAAAGATAGAGAGAGAGAGAGAGAGAGAGAGAGAGAGAGATGGATGGATGTTAAGTCCACTAGTGCTTCCTTTTTCAGCCTATCCTATAAGCAGTGATTCAATTCAATTTCATTTTGAAGTGCAGATTACATAAAACAACTACATAACATTAGTGCTGCTGTAAATTATTGAATGGGATGTTGAATAGCTCCCATAGAATTTCTTCTGTCCTTTCCTTCCTGTTTTAATCAATTGTCTATCCATACAGGAACTGATTCATAGCCTAGGTCAGCTAAGTAGCTTCTGTTGAAAGACTGTCAACATTTTTTTGACTATCCAAGTAGAATTTATTGGATTTTTGCTATGTTTTTACTTGTTATCACCTCCAAATAGTTGGTGATGCAAGATTTCTGTGTTAAAGCTGTATGGATGCTTTCTTAACCAGGCATATTCCTCTGAACATTTAAATCATATAAGCTACTTTCTACCAACATAACTAAAGCATAGTAGTTAACCTTTAATTCTTCAGTTTTGTATTTTTTGAATTATACTCCTGCTTGAAAAAATTATCAGTCAAACTTTAGTGGCTTTCTTTATTCTCTTGGTTGACAGGCTCATTTTTAAAATGTACATTTTGTATTAATTATATTTTTGAGTGAGGATCATTCCCCTTCCACAAATCTTCTGCCCATTCATTCTTGTTGTTTTTTTATGTAGAGGGATTTTCTGATATCATAAAAGAAAGTTCATTTTGAATTGGCTTCATTTGTTCTCAGTAATGAAACCACACAAATCAAAATAGCCATAAAGATACAATACATAGTCTCCATATTATAACACCTGTGTGACAAGTCCCAGGAATAAGAGAAATAATAGATAAATCAGAAGGGAAGAAATAAAACGCTGGCCCTAAACAGGGATAGAAAAGTACAAGTTCATGTAATCTGTGAGTTCGTAAAACCAAAACTCCAGATTCCTCAACAGACCCCCTTCCCAAAGGAAACAGTACATTTTACCCAGCACCCATGCTGTACTAACATTAGATAACATTCCGCTCTCTTCTGTCCATGTTTTGGTTTAAGATGATATTACACATTACATGGAGTTCTTTGGAGTTCTTATTCTTTATAAAAAAAACAAAAAACAAAAATGTGGATATTGCAGTACTCTGCATATTGCTGAACCCCAACCAGCATTATCAATAAACAGGAAACTTAAGAAGTTAGAGCCAGAGATATCCCACCTCTGCTTTCTATCATGCAGCAAATCTAGCTACAATCAGATATGAAAAAATCTCCACAGGAGGAGATAAAAATACAAAACTGCATAAAAGGACAGGGCTATAAAATTATTTCTGAAGTCCTACACAGGACTGGCATTTGAAATTTCGACCTTGAGAATTTTTAAAAAATAAATAAACCCTAACCTACCCTTACTGCATTGCTACACACAGTATGGCATGTTCTTTAAAATTAGGACTTATGAGAGGAACACTTGGAGTCACACTACGACTTGAATTTGGTTGATAACTAAGGGCCATGGTTAAGTACCTTTATACTGGAGGCTGGCTGGATGAGCTCTGTGATGGATACCTTGTCTTGCTGAAGCCTTCTTTTGACCAACTTGGAACAGCAAATGTTGACAGAGTTGAGAACATGCCAGGAGTTGTACTCCACAAAGGAGCGGCTGTCAATGACCAACATTCCTTCGGTCCCACTTCTCAAGAGACTGGCAAGCTTCTTGGGATCCATCACTTTGTGTGGAAGTTTGTCCCCAGCCATGGTAGACTGGTCCCTTCCACAGCAAGTGGCAGCAGGAAAGGAACACCCAGGGAGGAGAAGCCAGCTCAGATATTCCAGACGTGAAGAAAGAGGAGGAAGGGGAAAGGCAACTTAAAAACAGCCAACTTTTGCCACGCTGCTAAGGCCCTGTATGACAAGTCATTGTGCCAAACCTGTTAGGAAGCGCAGAGAGAAAGAGAAAAAGAAGAGGGAAAAAGTAGTCAGATATTGCAAGTATGCTATGTTGGTACTGATATATTCTGCTCTAGCTCAGATCTGGGAAAAACCATAGTCTTTAGGGGTCTCCATACTTGGAAACTTTAAGACTTGCGAACTTCAATTCCCAGGATTCCTCAGCCAGCTATGCTGGCTTAGTTGAAATCCACAAGTCTTAAAGTTGCCAAGTTTGGAGACCCCTGGTTCAGAGTCTAAAGAAAGTTCTACCTAATATTACCATTTCAAACAAATATCCTCTACAAGCATTCAACTTATCTTCCATGCAGCAGGCACCAAGTTCGATAAATGAATCAGTTAGAGGAAAAGGAAAAAAAGTATCCTAAAGTTATAGCTTATATCATGTTTCACATCTGATTTTGATTTCAACCTAAACCAGTGGTTCTCAACCTGTGGGTCGGGACCCCATTTGGGGTCGAATGACCATTTCACGGGGGTCGGCAAACCACGCTGTCCGCCATTTTTTTCCCTTTTCCCTAGCTGTCCTATTCCCTCTTATTGGTGGCCACACCCACTTGTGGGTCACCACAACATGGGGAACTGTATTATGGGGTCACGGCATTAGAAAGGTTGAGAACCACTGTCCTAAACACTTCATCTATATTCACATAATTTACTGTTTACTGTCTTACTGTTCCCTCATAACACTCTTCTTTACAATACAGAGTTTTTATGCTTTCTTCCACAAACTACAGAACTATTACTTTTAATAAAGTAATTTGCTTACTTCCATCCAACAACCTTCAGAAGCACATATTCCAGGTTGCACATACTTTTAATTCACCTGAGGCAAAACTCAGACTTGCATGTGTATACTTTAGAATCTGGTGTAGCATTTTATCACTTTAAAATTTTTCATTACCCAAACCATTATGAGAGGGACATCATGAATATTGAGCTGAAAGCTACAAACCTAGCATATATGAAATTCCTTTCCTACATTGCAAAAATCATAGCACAGAGCATGCATAATTTAATTTTTCATATTAAGAAATCTATACATATTCCTGTTTGATCACATGCTTGTTAAAGCATCAGGCAGGGATTAATTAAAGTCTCCATGCAGACATGAAACGCACAATCAAGCCAACCAATATTGCTGAATCCAACTCACAGGTTTATTGTTATGGGAATAAAATGAGGGGAGATTCCAAGTAATCCAACTACTAGAGGCAATATGGTATATATGACCATAATGTAATAATATATATATTTAAATAAAATGCCAACTACTGAGTCTGAAGGACCAAATGTCATCTATGATATGGTTCAAATTGCATCTATACACAGCTTCCTTGCAAATGCACAGGCAGTATTTATTTAAAAGATTTATATAGCTGCCCCTCTTAAAACAGGACTCTGGGCAGCTGGTAAAACAAATAGAAAGCCAAGTTTAATAACAGCTTTTCATTCTTAGGAATGAATGGTTTCAACACAACCCAGGGTTGGAAACCACCATATTAAAAATTCTCACTTACTGAGATTCTCAGTAGAAGAATGACTATCAGGAACTACCCTCATGGCTTAAACCTGTCAAACTGCACCTGTTCTCTTGAAAAACCTATCTGGAATAGATTAGTTGCCTATTGTTAATAAAACCATTATAAAACATAAATGATTTGCAGTACATTTTGTAATTGAAAAAGAAAGACAACCTGTCTTTTTTATTATAAGAAAACCTTACATTGATCTGGCTAGAAACAAGTCTCATCAACTTCAATGGTACTTAAAAGGTACATATATTTGTGTTTGAGTAAATTGCAATGCGTTTCAATAGGCCATATTTCTATTACCCAAAACTAGATAACATCATCAATGCTGAAAACAGCCAAGATCAGAGAGCACCAAGGAGCCTTCATTTCAACCCCGAGTTACAAATATTCTCCTTTATTAGTACCAGTGCTTTTTTTCTAAAAAAAAAAAAAAAAAAAAGAAGGGTGCCGGAACTCAAACACGTCATACAACCCGCCTTGCCTACCCTACAAGGTTCCATCCAAAAAAGGTGCCGGAACTCCGTTCTGAGCGTTCTATGACAAAAAAAGCCCTGATTAGTACCAAGTATGTTTGAAAAGGAATATGCTACCATATATTCAGTTTACCTACTGATACTAAACTTGAAAACTTGTAAACACACCTTGAATTGTGTTACATGGGGGGGGGAGGTTATAATCACATCTTCTGTCAGGCCCATTGCTAAGAGTCCCAAATTATGATGGTCACCTGAAACATTTAGAGGGAGCAGGGTTGCCTATCCTTCTGAGTGAAATCACAGTAGCCTATTCTTTTTTAAAAAGAGGGTGAGGTGGGAGAACCCTGATGACAATACTGGAAGTCCTCTTTTCAATACATTATTTGTCCATTCCTTTCCCTCTCCAGTGTGGATTTTTATTTTTATTATTATTATTATTTGTGTCTTTGGTAAAAGATGAACCACTCCTTTGGCAGGTGGCTGGAACAACCCTTTTTCTTTGGTATTTTGGGGCAGGCTTTTCAAGCTGAAACAGCTCCTAATTAAGAGAAGTCTGAAGGGGAAGATGGAGGCTCCTGCGACTAGGATTCTTGATGTGTGTGTATATAATCTATTTCTCCCATCTATATTAATCTGTCTCTCTCATCTATCTATCTATCTATCTATCTATCTATCTATCTATCTATCTATCTATCTATCTATCTATCTATCTATCCCTAACCCTATCTATTTACCTATCTATCTATCTATCTATCTATCTATCTATCTATCTATCTATCTATCTATCTATCTATCTATCTCCATCTTGGCTTTTCTCTGACAAAAATACAAAATACCTAAGTAACAAATAGGAAATACGTAATGCTGAAGAGAAAATTAGCATTAATTGTTCAAAAATTTTATTCAAAGGAAGAAAGTATTTGTTATAAACTTGTTTGTGCAGAATGGATTTCTAGCCTCTGTCCTCCCTTTGTTTTCAACAGTGAAAATGGTTTGTTTAGGATGACTTAGCTAACTAAAATGTTCTGCATTTCTTTAGGCATTTGCCTTGGTAATGTCAACCAGCATCCCAGACAGGCCCAGATATTCACAAGCTGCTTTCCAGAAATAGAATCAACAACTTTATGAGGGTGATGCCCTAGATCAGTGTTTCTCAACTTCAGTAACTTTAAAAGGCGTGAACTTCAATTCCCAGAATTCCCAAGCCAACATACTAAAAGTTGTCAAGGATAAGAAACACTGTCCTAGATAACACATACTGTGTATGCAATATTTCTTTAGTGAAAGATAGACATTTTGAGCATTTTTAAAACAAAGGCAGAACTTTGAGGGAATGGAGCAAAACTGTAGTGAGCAGTCTCTGATTGCTGCTGATATCCACTATGAGAAGTGGTCATCCTTCAGAATTAGCAGAACCAGTCTGCTAGGGGAGAATGTTACTTTCAATCAGTATGTTATCACCCTCTCCTTACTTATATTTTAGGCAATTCTGTCTCAAGCCTACAATCTCTTTTCTACTTTTTTTAAAAAAAAACTACAATTTTGAATTTATTCATCTCCAAGAGAGTAGTCTTTCTCCCTGGATGTGTTGAGACCTGTAATTCTGTTCTTATTACAGAATTTATTTCTTTTTTTTCCCATGGTTATCTTTTCATCTTCGTAAAGCATCACTACTGTAGAAGCTTTCTCTCTCTCTCATACACCAGGCTCACCAGGTGAATGCTACATGAGGCGCCCCCTTAAAGATAAGGCACTATTTCCAAAGGCAGAAAGACAGAATCAGGGTGCAAAGACACAGAGAGTTTACAGCATTGAGACTTTTCTTTTTCTATCCTATGACCTCAGCCATGCCCCTAAAATCTGTTCATATTGGTTTTGATGAAATCTTGCCTAATCTTTTTTAAATAATCATTTTATTAAACTTACTGAAGTATAAAATACTAATGAAAACCCTAATCTTTAAGTGATTCCAGATTTTTTCTACAGTTAAAATCTTGACTTCATTGGGAGTCAAGGAGATATCTATTAAATCTGAAGGTTGACCTGCCCATTTCTAAAACTGAAGTTAGGACCCTTATGAAGATAGCCTTCTATGGAATGCCATTCTCTTAGGAGCCTGGGGAACTTTTAAAGGAATATTTTTTTCCAACTGCTGTCTGCAAAGACGTGTCATCTAAAGTCATGATGGATGAAAGGAATTGCTGTTGTCCACTGGCACTCCCATCTACTCAATCAATCGATCTTCCCAGCACCTTTCCTCAGCAATTCCCCAGCAAAAGGGTGAAAGTTTTTTCCATTCTCCCTCTCTTGGCTTAGTCACTGATTTGATTCCAGTGGATCACCTGTCTGCTTTTCCCTCCTCACACCAGGAACTCAAAATTGAAACAAATACAGGACATTAGGCAAGTTGGTGGAACGTAAAGAAGCAGGAATGCAGGCCAGTACATACAATAGCAGGGGGTAAAGAAAGGACATGAAGGTGCTAAGAAAATCATAAGGTATGGGTAGACATATGGATAAGCTCCACCGGGACACTGGTGGTGTTAGCTGAAGAGAGGGAGGGAAGAGAATGGATTAGGAAGATTAGGAATGGCAAACTAGTGGGACATGTTGCACTGGTAAATCAGCTGCTCAGGGAAGACAGGATGGAGAGACGACAGAAGGCAATGAAAAGATGAGAATGGACAAGCAGATGGGATGTGCCATGTTGACAGCTGCTGTGGGAAGGGGGAAGAACGACATGTGCTATTTGTTTGTTTATTAAATTTGTATGCCGGGCATCACCTCTATAAAGTGATGCCTAATTACTCTAGAATCTGTCTAGTTATGTTTTATCCAAATCCAGAAATAACCAAAGTGTTCTTGGTTTTCTTTTTGCTGAACCACAGCCCAGCTAAAATCTTTCTGCAGAATATCTGCAATGAACATATTTTTCCATTTTGTGCATACCGCTTTACTTCAGAGGCAAGT